AACACCACTTCATAAGAGTACAATAGCTTTCATTTGAATTGTCACCCACAGGGTTTCATCCACAGATTCAAAAGTTAGAGCCATATTGTAGAGCAGTACCCCATGAAAGTACTGCTCGATAGCTTTCATTTTAATGGCCATACGTCAGGGTTTCATCTACAGACCTAAAAGTTAGAACCACCTTGTACAGCTTAATAAACAGTACCACATGAGAGCACTGCTCAATAGCTTTCATCTGAATGGCCACACACTAGGGTTTCATTCACAGACTTGAAATTAGAATCATTTTGTACAACATAATAAACCGGTACCGCATGAAAGTACTGCTCAGTAGCTTTCATTTGAGTGGTCTCGCAATAGGGTTTGATTCACAGACTTCAAAGTTAGAACCATCTTGTAAAGCATTACAGACAGTAACATATGAAAGTCCTGCTCAATAGCAGTTCATTTGAATGGTCACACATTAGGGGTTCTTCCACAGACTAAAAAGTTTCATAGAACCAAATTTTTACAACATACTTATCTACAATCATTTTAATAGTATGATTGGTTCTCCCAGCTCTTAATTAATTACTTGCTTACCGATTGTCGTGGTGACTGTCATACAAAAGAATATGGAATTGTAAATGTTCCACTCCGCTTTAGAAGCTGCTGTACGTTGACTACTTATTGCAGCAAGAACTTCTTCAAACTTTGCTAGATCTTTCGATGTAAGATTCTGCACTAATTCTTGAATACTTAGTCCACTGGATAGCGACACGTTCTGACTAACATCCGAATTCTGATGAGATAAAATTATACATTGCATAATTTATTTACAGGTATTTAAAGCAAAATGAGTTAGCAAGAGACAAAGAAGCTAATATGAAGCAGCAAGAACAAAGCATTTCTGAACTGTGTAATGCCGTGCACCGCTCATTTTGCTGCTTGCTAATTGGTTCAACATTTAGATCTCGTGCAACATACACTGACCAATCGCATTGAAGCTGTTTCTTTCGCAGCCAATCAGAAGCGAAGAACTATCGTGTTTTCACGTATGCACTTTTCCCGCCTTTTGCAACGGGTCACATGCTTCTAACTCGAGCTGCTATTGGTTTATTGGGAATAACTTACCTCAATCTGTATTCTGAGACATTCGTGGAAGAACTGCCTCTTTATTCAGGCCACGGTTTTGTATTGATCATGTAGAACAACAAATTAAATCAAAGCCAAGACAGATGTGCCATTAAACGTGATTAAACAACGAAATGGTTGAACTAAATCGCCGTTTCAAAAAGACTTATCGAAATACAAAACCCTTCTTTGTACTTTCTTGTAAATTGTAGTCGAGGCATTTAAAGAATTTCAATTCTCGACTGTTTTTTTCTTTTTTTGTTTTTTTGTTTAAAAAGCTATTAAAAACCGGCAGGATTTTCACCATAAAAAATACAAAAAAAAGATTAAAGGCCATGCTACTGTGATTAGCAAAATAGGTTAAAAGCTTTTTCATTACCATTTCGAAATATCATGCTTCATTTTAAATCAACCAGAAGCGGGCAAAATGGATGTTTTTGCGGTAGCTCAATGCAAGTTTATGGCGAATGTCTTCGTTGAAATTCTGGTCACTCTTTCAATGAGTTCTAATTGAAAATGTTAAATATTGATGAGATCCTCCTTTCAGAATCATCATCCGAAAGAGTGAATCAGAAAGATAGTTTAGTTCCTCCTTCAATAGATGATTTACTTGAGAGAAGAAATGCTAGTTCTCAGTTCTTCATGTTAGTTAAAGATTATCGTGGTAGCATTGCCAAATCAGGGAACTTCTTCTTCTAATATGACAAATTTGGTCCAACGACTAGACGACGACTGCTTTTGTTTTAATTTCCAAAGATTTACATACGAGAAGGGAAGATATTCTCTTAGATTTCGCTAAGATAAAATGTTAGGAGGAAACGATATGGCACTAATATGTTATTCATGCAGACTTTCCAATGATGGAAGCAAGTAAAATTATATTTCTCGACTGTAAAGACCAGTTAAAAGGAAAATTTCCGTGTCGTGGGGATTTGGTGATCAAAATGAAGTTATTAATCACGATTTACATACTCTGAAGTATCCTGCGAATTTCTTAATCATAAGTTCACCGTCAGGGAGTAAATTACAGAAATTCGCGCCCTCAAAAAGTTGCAAGTTTTGTTTAATTGTTTCCATATCGCATTTTGTTTTCTCTGAAAAAGAAGCAGCTATTTTGCAAGGTGATTGAGATTCAAACAAGGATCCTACCTTGCCATAACAGTAACGGAACTAAGCTTGATTAATAATAAATAACCTAGTCCTTCATCTGATGGAATTTCTTGTCGCATTTCACATTGTAAAAGTTCTAAGTACAGTGAGATCTTGCTCAAGTTTAAAAATGTTTATCGATACAAACATTGCAAAGGTACTCTAAAATATGTCATCTGTGAGTTTGAGAGCGTCTCTTATATTGTTGTGTTTTGTTTCGGAATTAAAACGCATACAATTAGTAAATTATACATGACTGCGAATTTCCGTGAGCTTGGAATTGTGTTTTCATTTTGTCCACAGCTCTAGCGAGCGAGTCGTTTCGATAAGCGACAGACAGTTCGCGAGCGCGTCAGTTGTCAAATTTTAAGATTTAAAAGCTTACCTTTAAAACGTCGAAAATTTCCACCAATTCTTGCGAAGTATTTACAACAACTTTAGGTTGATTTTCAACAGCCATAAAAATGAGTCCTCCGAGGGTCAAATAAATTGTGTTGAGAAGAATCATAAATAAAGGAAAGGCAGCTCCTTTCTTCTGAATTTTCTTTTGAATCCATTTAAGACACTTCAACGATCCTTTCAATTTCGTGCGATCTATCGTCGGGAGATTCATGTTTGGAAGAATTTTCTTCCGATCTCCCTCAGGTTCCTCTTCTTCGTCTTTTCCTTTGAAAAACTTCGCCATCTTCAGCCTTTGATTGCGGTATATATATAATAGAACACCGACGAAGAATCTTGAAGAGTTGTCTCGCGTACCGACGCTAAGTTATGTAAAGTACCACAACTCCACGATTTAAGCAAATTGTAAGCGCACAGTATTATTAAAACTTGAATGCTGTTAATTCTCTGTTAACAGAAAGTTCTGCTTCTTTCGTGTGCTAATTGTGTGTTGTTTCAGGACTTGGGCTCCAAGCAAACTTGCATCACATGATTGCAAATAAAGTCGTGAACACTGATATTCCTTCGAGATTTGAAAACCATTGGAGCGAACCTGAAAACCACAACCCACGAATTCAGTGTCAAAAACGCATTGGACCAGATAAAGTATTCACAAATCTACTCTCCTCAATCATGCCCGGGACAATTGTTTGGCGCCTCGTTCTCTCGCATTAAGCATGCATCTTCGAAACAAAATCCAGTCGACGAAAACGTAGTTCCAAACTTGAAAAAGTCTTCACTTAACATTCTTGTTTCAGCGTGAGTTTGTCGAAAGCTAACTTCTTTCTCTAGCTTTCTGTGTCACCAACCTCCGCATGGAATCCTGCAAGGAAGATAATAATTACAAATTCAAATGTATTATCAAATGCAAACACAAGCAAAGCAATAACATATGCCAATTTATAGAGATAAATTGTTTTGTCATTGCGCGCGCTCAAACTATACGCACGATCGATTTTGCAACGAACTACAGTGACTTGTAAATTTCGTACCTTTCTGACGTACAAACGAAAAAAGCAAGCTGAAGGAAGTTCTAGTTTATACAACCGTCTTTGCAATTTATGAATACAACGTTCCTTTGCAAACACAATGGAAAGTGATTTGCGATTAATTAGCAGTGAACAACGCTCCTTTATACAATACAGTCGAGTAATCGCATAATCGCGAAAGGTGTTATAATATGAGTTTCAAACTAGTTAACGTTATTTTTCATAATTTTTGAAAATCAGCAATATCATAATATTAAAAAACGCCTATTTAGTGCGATGTCATTAATATGCGTGCCTGTTAGAATAAAAAAAAACAGATTGAATGAATTTGGAGCGTACTTTAAAACTTTTCTAACAGTGCTTTCGTTATTATTATTATTTTTTGTTTAAGTTTTCGGCGTTGTAAAATTTTTGGAACTGAACTTCAAAACATCGAAATGGGTCGGGAGGGGAGGGGACTGAGGTATGTGTAATTTTAGCATTGTTACGAATGGGATAATAAACGACAGTATTTTTTCTTATTTTCAATACTTTAAGAAAGTGGATTGAGAGAGGTCTCCGATCCGAGGATGGCCAGTATATATGGGTTATTGAACTAGCTTGTTCGGTCAAGACGGCTGGATATCGGCCAAGATCTTTTTCTGTGTGTTTATGGACCAAGACGGACCGAGCCAGCTTGGTCATTAATGGATTTATTATATGGCTTGGGCAGGATTAACTATCTTAATTCCATAGAAATAGGCCATTTCAGAGTTGTTTAATTGCGTGCCTCTGTTTCAAAACTCGTCTTTGTGCAAAACCATTCATATGAAAATATCTTCCGCCTACCAGGTTCATTTTCATACAAATCAAACTCATTTTCATTTAAACGGCTTTACACGCGGACTCGTTTTGAAACAGAGACACAAGGTAACTCGGAAATGGCCTGTTAATTGAAAACGAGCAGTCTGATTCTTTCAGCGTCACCAATTGTTTGATATGTTCCGACATATAGAAAACCATATACTTGATATGTACACAGCTTTGTACGCGCGAAAATAATGATATTTTCCGTTCCAGAGTCTAAAGATAGACTGCCCTGCTCCTTAAAATGCTCGTACATCCTCCATAGCAATGAATGTTATTCATTTGGGAACGAGGTCGTTAATTTTGTTACAAAAACTCAAGGCGTTGTTCAAATAAAACCAGCATAAATAACTCTGAATAGCCTCGAGCTTTCAAATAGGTTAAAAACCTTATTTCATCCTGAACAAAACAACTTCACTTTCTCCTTAAAATACAATTAAGAAAACAATGATATGGGCAACGTTAGGTTTTAGTGTCTTTAAACAAAATATCGAATCAGTCAGATTAAACAATTCAGTGTAAATTTTACTCACAATTGGAAACGATGATGTTCCGCTATTTTCTTCAGGATGTTTCATTGTTGACAAAACATGTTTGAATATATAATTCTAAGTTAAAGTTGGTTTCAAAATCACTTATCGAACCGTTGGAGCATGACGTTCTCCTAATTATATCACCACTTTGAGCGGGTTTTGGCATCGTTTGACTAATCACAACCAGGTTAAACCTGAAAGGATGTCACGTCGTAGAAGTCAAAATTGCCACATGCTACTTGCTGTTTCTTTGTTTTCAAATGGGTCTCAAATAGTAAACCAATGGAGAGAGAGATTTTGACAAGTAGTTAGAAATAAACCAACTTTCAGGAGTGGATTTTAATAGGNATTCAGTGTAAATTTTACTCACAATTGGAAACGATGATGTTCCGCTATTTTCTTCAGGATGTTTCATTGTTGACAAAACATTTTTGAATATATAATTCTAAGTTAAAGTTGGTTTCAAAAATACTTATCGAACCGTTGGAGCATGACGTTCTCCTAATTATATCACCACCTTGAGCGGGTTTTGGCATCGTTTGACCAATCACAACCTGGTTAAACCTGAAAGGATGTCACGCCGTAGAAGTCAAAATTGCCACATGCCACTTGCTGTTTCTTTGTTTTCAAATGGGTCTCAAATTGTAAACCAATGGAGGGAGAGATTTTGACAAGTAGTTAGAAATAAACCAACTTTCAGGAGTGGATTTTAATAGGGGGCAGAGATTGGGAGGGGGTAGAGATTGGGTGCCTAGCCACCCCCCTTTTGGAGAAGCGAAAAAAAATAGTTATAGTAATAATAATAATAATAATAATAATAATAATAGCAATAACAATAATAATAGTTGTTATTATTATTATTATTATTAAAAGCATGACGCGTACACTATAACAAAATTCTCGAACGTGATTGGCTATCAGGAGCCCGATTTGAGCATTAATTGGACAGTGCACGCGTCAAGCTTGTAATTGGACAGTACGCGTCATTTTGCGCGCGCTGTTGCGGTGCACTTTGTTGAGTA